GTGTCTCCGTTGACATGTCCGCCAGCCCTACTGCTCAGATATACAACTGCAGCTGCGATGTCCTCTGGCTTTCCTACCCTTCCATTCGGGTTAGTCTTTCCCAACGCCTCCTCACCACCAGCCTTCTCCATCAGTACACCTGCCATCTTGCTCATGAAGAATCCTGGCGCAATACCGTTGACAAGAATGTGTCTGGGCCCTAGTTCAACAGCAAGGTTGCGCGCAAGATGCAGGACTGCGGCCTTGGATGCGGAGTACGACCAAGAGCCTGTCTCACCGAGAGATCCCACGCCAATCCCTGCTACGCTGCCTGTTACGATGACGCGCGAGGGGTCTTGGACTGTTGCAGCTTTGGTGAGGAGGGGTGTGAGTCTGCGCCTATATCAGCGCTATTATCAGATAGTAAAAGAAACGAAAGACTTACTTCTGGATTGTAAAGAAGACACCCTTGACGTTCAAGTCCATGACCTTATCCCATCCATTCTTCTCATCCGCCTCTTCAAACTTGCTGCCCCAGGTAGCTCCTGCATTGGCAAAGAGAATGTCCACGTGATCGGTATGCTTGCTGACTTCCTGCACAAGACGGTCGATCTCGGAGACCTTGGAGCTATCCGCGGGAATGGAAATAGCTACTGCACCAGGCGACTTGTTGGGGAGCGCATTTAGGGCTGCGACGGCGGCATCGCAGGCTGAAGCTTTACGGGAGGTGATGAAGATCTTGGAGCAGCCAGCTTGCATCAGGCTGGTCTTGTGTTAGGCAGGTGCGCTGGAATGATGGATGGAAGCAGATGGATTCATTTACCCTGATGCTGCATGGAGACCTAATCCTCGAGATCCGCCGCTCACGACTGCGACTTTGCCTTTCAAGCTAAAGATGTTGGTGAAGTCGTGCAGCTGCACATCTTGTTCCGCGGATGCCATGACGATTGTATGTATCGAGTATTATGTATGTGACGACAATGCAACGTTATGTGCACACCAACAATGCGTTACTATGTGGGAGTGTTGATTAGTCGTGATTCACGACTGCTCATGTAACGACCTCGGTGCTGACGGTGCCCAGCCATCCGAAGTTGTATCAATGCATACGTGATGTACCGAGGCTGTAAGTCGCGCTAGTCTACTGCGTGGGGTAGCGCGTTATCCAGTGCACATGCTCTTTCTCAGGTTGTGACGAGGACTTTGAATGAGAGAGTCGTTGATTCGTTGCTCATAAGTCGAGTCGGAGAATAATTCGCTCTAAAGCTTGCCTATCTCCTCCACGTATAGTCCCGGAGAATACCAGGGTGCTTTTATCTGCGCCGCGCGCTGCGCTACAAGAAAAAGCATTGTCTCGAGTGTTGGCTAGAGGTGCAGTTAAGGTTGTCGGATCTAGGTGTGCGGCAATCTCGGAGCATCGTACAAGGACATAATGGGGACGCTGGTGTGAGACATGGCTGGACTCGAGGGCCACAACGTCGAGACTCAACGTGAATCGTATTGCTCAAGTGAGATGTCGACGATGGCTACGGCACGAGAGCGAAGGTCCAATGCCCAGGTAGTGCGCGCGCTCCAGTGCGCCCGCCTCGAGTATCGGAAGTAAACACCGGCTTCCTAGTCGGCGGGAGGCATGGAAGGCGCGAAGAACTTGGCGCATTCCGACGACACCACGCGCACCCACCATGAAGAGCGTAGCGGATATTGCAGGAGCATCAACGTGCATCCTTCAACGGTTTTGCTGTCGATACATACTGTTCTCGCTCTCCTCGCCGACCTGGAGAAACTGCCGCGAACAGGACGACGCGTTATCACATCGCCACTCTACCCCAACACGACTCCGAATTTCGCAGATCTCCATCCGCCCGCCAGAGACAAGCTTCTCCCTTTCTCCAAGCGTCTAAGAGATTTTCTGCATGACCTCCTATTCGGGACTGACATGTGCTGATCGCCCCGGTTGGAAACCGCCAGGCGAAAGATCACCGGCGAAATTTTAGCCTGCCTCCAACGGCGTCTTATCGGAGGGCCGATCGCACGTCAAACTCGGGTTGCAGAACTCAACTTCGGGTCCGCCAAGACACATTCGGTCCATTCTCGCAGATGAGCGGCTCACAGCACGCTACTCTTCCTGTCATCCCAGTCTGTTTTCTCGAAACCCCATCGGCTGCCTTCCTTGGACGGAAGCTACCGACCCGCCAGGGGGCCGCGCAATCATAGATGATCAACGAGCGATCACAACTGTAGATCTTTTCACTGCTGTTTACTACTCAGAGTACGTACGGGCCTCGTCGACACACAACTATGCGGCCGGAGGGGACGGCATCAAATCGATACTTGAGCAGACGTCGGGTGTCACATTCCATACCTTCCGCTCCACGCGACATGTGCAACGGCGCACAGGATATAAAAAGATCAAAACTCCGACTTGCAGACACAAATCGTACCGTAGAAGCATTTTGCGGGCCTCTGGTATGCACGTCCTGATCGACACGCTCAACAGATGCTACAGACCATTGAGATTGGTGCTCGCTCTTGCGGATACCGCAATGTACCCTGCCGTGTATCAGAAACATAGCACCGTTCTTGAGACGCCCGTCAAAAGCCTCGTAAGGCACCTATCCGGGCTTGCTATCCGGCAGCTGTCAGTTTCAGGTGGCGAGGGGCCGCGGCGCGGTCTAGACGAGCGGTTCGGCAGTTGGCAGTAAATTTCCACCCGCCTTGACCTGGTTTCTGGTCACCTCGGCTTCGCATTGCTCTTCATGTTGCATCTGACTGGCCGAGCCGCTGTCGACGCCAAGCTCGAAATCAACAGAAGGACAGACTAGCCATACATTGGCCTTGCCTGTGGGGCTTCCGCGACGGGCGCGGGCACGCGCTGCAACGTGGGGAACCACGTTTTTGCAAGCGGTGCCACGCCTGATGACGGGCGCCGCAAGGTCAGGGATCTTCTCCGGCGACGCGCGCAGAACAATTCTCGGAACACTGTCCTGAATGAGGTAGTGTTAATTCAACGCTTAGTGTACTTACCCACGAAGATGTACGAAGAATCTTGTTCATAGTGACATCAGTGTGAGCATTACGTAGGTTCAAGGTCTGCCAACAAATCGGAAGCCACACGGCAATTGATGTGGCTGTGGCGTACCGTGCACGGCGATTCCACCGCTCAACGTGCTGTGGCTGGGGAGGCCTGGCTACAGTCTCCGCGAATCCCACTAGGGCATGTCGGGACAGATCGCTAGTGAACCACCATGACGGTGTTCCCTATCTTCTTGGGGACCGAAAACTGATCCTTCGGCGCCTTTTTCGCCATCGTCTTTCAAAGTCCAGAGCGCTTCATCCGAGTAATCCTCGTGCTTGCAGATTCGAAATCCCGTGTGCTTTTGCCATGGCTGCAGGCGTTAGCGAAGTGCCTTTCTTCAATGCCGCATGCAGGTACACCCCTGTATGAATCTCGCCGAAAAGGTATGCCTTGGACGTTTTGGGTGAAGCCATGTGGACCGTCTGGCATTTAGGCACGAACCGATCATCTTCTGGAACATGAGGCTTCATCAGAGCCGGACAAGCTGTCAGGTAAGACTAGCCATCCGGATCTACGTCCGAGCCTGCTAACGGAGCTGCCAGCCCGTGTAGAATTTGAACTAGAACACTCGCTTCGTCTCATTCTAGTCGAAGCAGCACCAGCTGTATGCCGTGTGCGGAGCCATTGGGCAGTACTCACGAGACACAAAAACATAGGTTTGCACGACGACTTCTATCGGTCCACTCGTGGACGGGAGCCAAACCACATATCTGGGCATTCGTGGTACTATCAACCCGCAATAAACTTTGCTCCTCCCGTATACCGGTACGTCGAATGCACAGGAGGCCTCTGCTTCGTGGTGTTGTTGAACAAGGCTTGCTAAAGTCCCCTACTTTCCCAGGATACGGAGCTTTGTACAGGGTCCCCGAAGCTCCTTTCCATTTCAGCGCGTCGCCAAGTCGACACGTGCTTTAAACGAAGCACCTTCACCAATCCCCTGTGTCGCTCAGAGCATCCATCCGAGATCGAAAGGTGGCGACCTGACAGGGTCCTTCTACCGCCTTACCACAAGGTTGCTAGACGAACTTCACTGCAACTGGGAATTGAGCTGATCATTGCAGCATTTTGACTAGCATACTAGCCCCATACGACGCCCCGAAATACCCAGTATTTCCTTCATCGGATCTTTGCCGAGATTTAACATCGTTCCCACGAACCTTGCCGTCTGCCGAAGCGTCTCTTGTCTCCTCACGGCCGTGAAAGTTCAATCATCACACACCACCTCGCAGTTCACCCTAACCAGTCTAGCCACTGACCCTAACCTAAAGCTGTGGCATCTCGGCCACTCAGCCGAGCGGCTGGCTGACAGCACTTACTCAGGCGACACAGACCCGACTATCGCGCTCCAGCCTTCTGTATGCCCGAGTCACTCAATCTGCCCAACCTACCGCTCGCTTGCACGGTTTCTCCACTTGGAGCGAAGACCTGTCACTTATCTTGTTCATCCACAAGTTTCCATCTTCCGCATCTTGCATCACGCCAAGGCAGCATGAGGTGTTGACGGTTGGCTTCCATTGGTTCAACACGTCTACCTGGTCCCACAAGCTACTAATATCGTTGGCCCGTTCTGAGTAGCGCTGTGTTCGGCTTCTACCGAGACCACTTACTCTTTCTCCATAGCGACATCATCTCGACTAGAACTTGTTACCTACCAAGCGAATTTCGATACCCACACCCGGCCTGTCTTCGAGCGCTTGGGCTATCTCTCACAATGCGCAAATCTCCGCCAGGTTCCAGTGGGCAGTCGCCACGGACCATGATACCACCACCAAGTCCGTTCACGATGTCGCATCCGGTTGCTCGCACGACTACTCTGGCGGCGCCTACTGGCCCACAGCTTGGCTCCCGTTCACCTGGGTATTCTTCGAACTCTTATAGCCATTCCACTTCACCAAGTACGGCATCTGGAAGCCTGCCGGACCACAACCACGATGGCGCGAGCCTGATGATATCCCCTACTCAGATATCTTCCGCGAACTTGAACGCGCAAAAACGCGCATACAGACAGAGACGTAAGGATCCCTCGTGCGATGCTTGTCGAGAACGCAAAGTCAAGGTGAGTAAAGAAAATAGAAGGTTCATACGTACATGAAAAGCAAGTGTTTTGGTGGCATTCCAGCAATGCCATCAGAGGCGGACAAGCGAGATTGGGGATGGATGATCAGGTACTGGCCACCTAGACGACCATCTTCCCTTTCAGTCGCGTCGAGCGCATGCGTATCCAGTTGCGCATGAGCTTTGCTGAGATTGACATGCTTCCATGAGCAATGTCAGGGCATTGAATTGGAGACCATGTGAGGATGTTACTGACCACTATTTTAGTGCGATGCAACCGAGACATCGGCTTGTTCGGAATGCTCGAGCCGTAACCACAGGTGTCAATTCACCAAGGAGACCAACCGGCGAATGTCATCCATCAAGTACGTGTTATGACTTAGCCCACTTGGACGAACATTTGCTTACGTTGCATAGACAGGTCCAGGATCTCCAGAGTCAGATTGCCGAGTTGACTCATGTCAACTCTCAGCTGCGCACCAAGGTCTCCGATGGTGAGCCTTTAGATCCCGAACGGACAGACACGAAGCGCAGGCTTTCTGAAGCTCAGATTGGCGCCATACCGGGACCACGTCCGATCACAATGCCAGCCTTGAACAACTTCGACCAGGTCCGCAGCAACATCCGAACACATGCCCAAGGCATATTTTCTACACCCCATCACGATCCAAAGGGCGCTGGATTGACAAATTGGCGGTCACCCGAGATACCAATACGCGCAGACTTTGCGTATCTCGCTCGCTCATACATGGAGACGATACACGAGTCGTATCCTGCTGTTCACTGGCCCACCTTTCAGCGGGAAGTGGACGAAGTGTACACTTCGAAAACATTCGAGGGTTGCTCTCGTGAATGGGTTGGATTATTCTTTGCGGTATTGGCTTGTGGTGCTTTGCAAGCTGAACCGGGGCACACCAACTCTCCTACCTCAGTGTCAAAGGGCCAGGCAATGTATGAGACCGCGACTGCTGTTCTCCAGTCCTGGCCGCATGATGTCTCAGTTACATATGCCCAAGCAGCACTTCTGTTGAGCATCTACGCTACTGAGTGCAACTTGGGCCCTGCGGGCTCTATGTGGCTCGCCTCTGCCGCGAGAATGGCTCAGGAATTGCAAATATGCCCTGAAGTCGATGTCTGGCCTCTTGTCGACGGTGAGATCCGACGTAGGCTCTGGTGGTCCATCTACGTTCGCGATAGGTATGGAAACTGTTTCTCACCTGTTTTTGCCAACTGCAGCTGACTCTGAAATAGGATCATGTCGCTTGAGACAGGCAAGCCTATGATCATCAACGAAATCGACTGCGAAATATCTCTGCCATCCGCCGTGGACGACCGCTACATCCAACCGAACAGTTCCTTCCGCTCGTTAGCGAAGCCAACTCACTATACTGGGTTCATGGCGAACATACACATCACACGCCTATATGCGCCACTGCGGCAAATTCTCAAATCAAGCGTAGTTCTGCCACAGAGCCTACAAAGCTTTGATGAAGAGCTTCGACTTAAGTTGCTGCTCCTTCCTGAAGCCTACCAGCCTGATTCCAATACACTGTTCGACATGTCGGCACTGCCTACAATCTTTTGCTTGTTGTCCGCTCGCTTTAGTGTGTACCGGCGCAATCTGACTCCAGTAGCCGGTCTCGCGGAGCGAGTGAGTGCTCTAAAGCGGTGCTTTTCTGTTTCTCAAGACACGGCAACGTATGTGTCAAGGGCCTTGCACAATCCTCCCAAACAGGATTCTGGAAAAACATGGGAAGAGCTAGTAGCTTCGATAGCGAGCAATGCCGTATGTTTGCACTTGTGGAGATGTATACTTGTGCTATGCTTCCGTGGCGAGTACAAGGCTGCACTCGTTTGCTTGCATCTCTCTAGGGCTATTGGCAATCGACGGAAGCTCAACACGGCGTGCGGAAAGCACGTGGTATTCTTCCTCGAAAGGATGTTCGACAGAGTGCGTACCGGGCGCGCAAGCAGTCATCAGCTCGAGCAGGATGAGGAGATGATCGCGTACGTCAGTGCGGACGCTCAAAGCAGCCTTGAGCATTCTTGGGTTTGGGCGGGTGATAATTTGATCTCTTCGAGCATGAAGCCAGACCCGACCCCCATCGCTACAAGATCGCCGAGCGGCGATGAACCGATGCGGGACGCACTACCATTGCGCACGTCATCTGGTTCACCGATGAACACTACAACTGAACCGGATGAGTGGAGCAAGGTTGAGCAAATGGTCAAGCAGCTGATGGATGAGCTCCTTCATCGATCCACGCAATCGCCTGCCTACTATCCTCCACCCCATAATCCTGTTAAGCGCGTGCAGTTGGCACCGGAAGCACCACCACCACCACCAAAGATGGCACCAAACCCAAGTCCGACACCGTCAGGCACAAGTCGCATCAGCATTGCGAACATTATATGAAGCAAAAGGCTCCCTACAGACTATAGATAGCTCATCGCCGGCCTGTACGGATATTCGTTGAGACAAGCACTCCGGCCAGCATTCAACTGGAGTAGTCCTTTGGACTCGAATACCTGCATTGGGTACTACGACCACCGCATGTAAACTATTCGGAGCAACACATTCGCTAACTCCAAAGCGCTGTACATTCGTTGTGCACATTCAAACCCCCGGGTCGTCCTGCCGCCCGCAAATTGAAGCCGAAGCAAGTACACCTCCCGAGCCAGTTTTCGACATTTGCTCGAGCATAACAAGCATTGCTCTCTGGGCCAAGACGGGTTGACGCTGCTATGGTTCCACGCTTGCGCTTGTAGTTCAGCTCTCATTCGGTGCGTACATGATTCGCTTCAGCAACCACGCATGGTCAAGGCGTTGAGATGTCTTGGCTATTTGATACCGATTGTCGCAATCCTCTGCGTATAAAACGATATTCAAATATACTTCCATGCTTGCAGTCCAATGCTGCTTGCCTCCGTAATATATGTTGCACTGCAGTCCCCAATGCCGTGACAGTGCTCAATTGACTCAGCACTAGTGGAAATACTCACCTATTGGAATGCTTGGGAATCTCACTTGCGCACACCTAGGTTCGCGCCGCGACTTACCCGCAGGCTTGTCTTTCAGCGGCACATAAGAGCCATCCAATCAGTACCTAGCCATATACTCGGACGCTACCAGTGTTAAGGTTGGAAGCGAACCTGCGACCGAACTCTGCTGACACCGTGCCTGTTGTGCGACGACCTTGCTGCAATAACGTTCTCGTCAGCTACGCATAAACCGCCATGGCTTAGCTGATACCTACCACCAGCGCATATCTTCTCAGCCCCGAAGGTTGTGAAATGTCATTGCGGAGCAGAACCCGACACTCGCCCGGGCAGATCGTACCTGGCACTACCCCGCCGATAGTCCATCTCGAAAGGCGTTAGCTCGTGGCCGAAAGCAGGAAGGCATGTGCAGGGCGGTGTGAGGAAACAGGGCCACTAGCCAGACAAGCTTCACGGGCCAAATGCTTAGCGAACGGCCTGTACCCCGCTATGACATGTTGTCGCTCTCGAATGAGCACCTTGGGCGCGACATCGTGCGTCTGTTTACTTGGATTATTCCCAGTTCAAACGCCTCATGTAGAGTAAATGGCTACGGAGACGCGCTAGGCGGTCTGGATGATGAATCGACGTACGCGTCGTGTAGCGTCGGCCTGCAGCAGGTGGCCCCCGACGTATGTCGTATGCAAGTCGTGGTGGGGTAGCAGAGTGAGCTGGAACGCGGGCGGCGTGTTGATGCTGCATGATAGGCGCGACAGGAGCTGGTGAGCGATATAAGTTGCTGATTCTGCGGCAACTCCGGTTGTTCTTAGGCTGCCTTGTTTACTTCCTTGACGTGGCTTCCTGCTTCTCTTCTTCCTCCATCTTTCCTCGCACCTGCACCTCGATCATAGAAGGCAGGCACTATTGTCTCTTCCAGAAGACCCCTCCACAAACACACCCTACGACCGCCAACATGGTGCATATCAACCGTGTAGCAACTCACAAGGAAGTCTCCGAGGAGCAGAGCCAATTCGAGGCCATTGATGCCACCACTACCATCAATCTGACACCAGACGATGAAGCCGACGACTACACTGCTACCGTCTACGGTTCCAAATATGCTGCTGAAGATCTGCCGAGACACGAGATGCCGGTGAGCCCAGCCCTTTTTGAGTAGCTATACCCGGAATTGACACGATCTAGGACCGAGAAATGCCTCCTCATGTGTACGTGCTTTGCTACATGCACTATTAGCCTCGAACACACCAAACCATTTGCCGCACCACAACTGCGACAGCATCGCTGACGATATGCTAGTGCATACCGCATGATCAAGGACGATCTCACGCTCGACGGCACCCCGACGCTGAACTTGGCTTCATTCGTTACAACGTACATGGTAAGCTCTAATGATCATTCATCGGATGGACAAGGACTGACACATGAGCAGGAAGAAGAGGCCGAGAAGCTTATGGTGTATGTCGGACAAGCTCGCGTTTCGTAACCTCCCAATAACCCTTTACCTAAGCGACGCGTTCTCGAAGAACTTCATCGATTACGAAGAGTACCCCGTCAGCGCCGATATCCAAAACCGTTCGTACATACACTACAAAATGGGCTGAGGAATGTTTGCTGAGTTGTGAACAGGATGTGTGTCGATGATCGCCAGGCTGTTCAATGCGCCGGCAGATCCAGAGGCGAACACAATCGGCACCTCTACCATCGGGTCTTCTGAAGCCATCATGGTCAGTGAATACAGTGGTATGAAGCTGGAAGCCTGTGAGCTGACACATCATAGTTGGGTGTACTGGCCCAGAAAAAGCTTTGGCAAAACAAGCGCAAGGCTGAGGGCAAGCCCTACGACAAGCCAAACATGATCATGAACTCGGCTGTACAGGTCTGCTGGGAGGTATGTAGCCTATTGTTGAGCCATTTCGGGCAGAAAAGAAGGAGAAGCATACTGATTGTATGCAGAAAGCATGCCGATACTTTGATATCGAAGAGCGATATGTATACTGTACTACTGAGCGCTATGTGATGGACCCCAAGGAATGCATTGATCTCATCGATGAGAACACCATTGGAATTTGTACGTATTACAGCATCTATAAGAGGACAATGAGCTAATTCGAATAGGCGCAATCCTGGGAACGACCTACACTGGCGAATACGAAGATATCAAAGCCATCAACGACCTCCTCGTCGAGAAGGATATCGATGTCGATATTCACGTCGACGCCGCGTCCGGTGGGTTTGTCGCTCCGTTCGTCAACCCTGGTCTACTATGGGATTTCCGCCTCCCAAAGGTCACGACCATCAACGTCTCTGGTCACAAGTACGGACTTGTATACCCCGGTGTCGGCTGGGTCGTGTGGCGCGACCCCAAGTACCTTCCCCAGGAGCTCGTCTTCAACATCAACTACCTCGGTGCTGACCAGGCGTCTTTCACACTCAACTTCTCCCGCGGCGCTTCGCAAATCATTGGACAGTACTACCAGCTCATTCGTCTTGGAAAGCGAGGATATAGGAAGATCATGCTGAACCTGACGCGTACGGCCGACTATCTCGCCGCAAACCTCGAGGCGTTGGGCTTTATCATCATGAGTCAAAGGGGAGGCGCTGGACTTCCTCTCGTTGCTTGCCGCATTGATGAAGATCTTGGCAAGCAGTACGATGAGTTCGCCATGTAAGTGTCCACCCCACTTTTTCTGCAACTGAAACTAACGAGAGCAGTGCTCATCAACTACGCGAGCGCGGATGGGTCGTTCCCGCATACACGATGGCCCCTCACTCCGAGAAGATGAAGATGCTGCGTGTGGTTGTGCGCGAGGATTTCACCAAGTCTCGTTGTGACGCTCTACTTGCCGACTTCAAGCTTGCGCTGTCGACGCTGGACAAGCTCGACGCGAAGAAGATCGAGGAGCACAGGCAACATGCATTCGAAATGCGTCGTCGTTCGACCATTATCAGCCCCATCTTTAAGAAGAAGGCGACAGACCACTTCGACGAGGACCACAGTCTACAGGCAAAGACTGGAAAGACACATGCAGTGTGCTAAGCGTGAGCAATGCGCCGCCTATTGAGTTGTCGAGGCGAAGGAGTATATGGGTTTTATATACATAGATACCATGGATGAACAAGTCACTCTCATTGTTCTAAACAGACTGTACACGTTGTGATGATCGGGTAGCATGAATTTCATCCATCAAACTTGAACTTGCAGCATCGTTATTGCTTCAAAGAGTTTTGTTCACCAGCTGGGGCCACATGCAAGTCTCGCGAACCGTTCTTGATTGACGCATGGATGCAGAAGATAGGGGTCTAACCAAAGCACATGCCGAACTGAACTGCAGTGGATAAGATAACGAGCAAAACGCGGCAGATGGAATGAACGTGAACGAGGAACGAGGAACGGAAGGCGGGCGGAAGTCGCGACGCGTCACGCTAGCCTAGTCGGGCACACGCGTCACGGCGGACGATTTCCGGCAAAAAGGAAGGGGGGACCAGCACTGCAGACGGTAGGTCTGGTCGTATATCGAGTAACTGTTGTGAACGCCCGAGACATAAATGTCGACAGATACTGTATCAAAAGGGACGGATGTTACAATACGCTGCGCTCTACATCACCAAGGAATAGCACAATCATGACAGAATGTGTACGTTGGTACCTTTGCGATTAAACAGTCCAGTGGCTGTTACTCTTCTTCATCATATCCAATGCTAGACATTTCCCATCGATCATTACCTCCTAAACACAGCCTAAGCCTTGGTCTCGGCGTTCTCAACCCTAACGGGGCTGTGCTCGAGACCCTTCTCGTTATCGACCTCACCACGCTCAGCACGGCGAGTGTTGCTGTATTCGACCCTAGTCTTCCAAGCGGGAACTCCAGCCATGAACATCTCCTCAACATCCTCGAGCGTCTTTCCAGCCGTCTCGGGGAACAGGAAGAACGTGTGGATAGCCATGGCGAGGCAGAAGACACCGAAGATGATGTAGACGCGCCATTGGATGTTGACGAAAGCGGGTGGGACGAAGTAGGAGAGGGCGAAGTTGAAGATCCTGGAGCGGAGTCAGTACGTAATGATTTTAAGCATCATAAGCAGGTTTGTACATACCAATTGGATGAGGTAGCGACGGCAACAGCCTTTCCACGAATGCGGAGAGGGAAGATCTCTGGTGGGTAGACCCAAGACGCGGGGCCCCAGGTTGGCGCGTAAGAAGCGACGAACAGGTATGTGCAAGCAATGACAGCCTTTGCAGGCGCGCCCGTGATCTCCCAGGATTGCTCGGCAATACCACCAAGACCGCCTTCAGGAGCTGGGTTGCCGTAGCTTGCCATGAGACCGGCGTTGGCGAACATCCAGATCATCATAAGGACTGCGCCGATGACGAACATAGGACGGCGACCCCAGCGGTCCATGAAGAGAAGAGCAGGA